AGTTTGCTTAATCGGAGTTGCACTTCCCGTGTCGATTTCATATACTATCAGGTTGGTTTGCCTCAAGTTGTTGGCGTCACATGCGAAGATTGTTTTCTCATTATTTAAGAAATTTTCTGCTTCCCATTTTTGCTTCAAGGTTAGGTGGGTTTCATCTACACTCTTTTCCAATTTTTGCTCCAGGGACTCTTCCTCAAGATCGGGCTCGTTCGATGGTAATTCTTCCATGTGTGACAAATATATAGCGGACTATGATTTTTCTAAGGGTTATCAAAGAGGTCGCTATCTGATATTTCACTGTAGAAACCTTCGGCCTCATCCAATACTTCGTCTTCATATTCGAATTCGTCAAACGTCCCATCATCTTCATTCTCTTCAACTTCAATGGAAGGATAGTCTCCATCATACGATATCGGGATTTCTGCAACCTGGCCCTGATATTGCACATACAATCTACTTTCGTCCACAAGTAAACAGGCATGGGTCTGCTTGAACCAATCCATTTCAAAAAGAAGAGTCTTGTCGGTGGATTCAATAACCCGGAAGTTAGTCGGAATTACAAGGCTACCTAATACTAGCTTTACGTCAACGATTCTACCTAACATTCTTACTCGGGTCCTATTAGCCATTACTACCATGGTGGTGGAAGGTTCGGTGATCTTCAATTGTAGTTTTTCCATCATTTTATTGGACAAAATGCTCACGGCTGCACTGGAGTCCAGAACGGCAATCACAGGGTCATTCTTTATTCTTACGTAATAACAGGCGGCCGTTGTTCTTTCATTCGACTGATTCTGGATAGTGCTTGTTTGCATAGTCACAGGAGGTGGGTTTACTGATTCCAGCGAGCGCAACGGTCTTCTCAAAGTGTTTGCTAGCTTCTGCCTTTGATCTGGATACTTCAACATTTGTCCCAGGGTTACATTGGCCTTTGATTCCATAATGTCTTTAGCCATGTCATACGATTTCAATTGATCGATTACCGAGGGGCCTCTCTTTGTCGAGGTCTTGCAAGGGGGGCTACTGGGGCTTCTGGTATTGGTTGGGAAGGGATCATATTGACCGGAGGTGCTACCGGGGCTTGTGATACTGGTTGCAAAGGGTTCACGTTTACTGAAGGCACAACAGGGGTTTCTGGTCTAGAGAGAATGAACCGATATCTTTCTGCGGCTTGATCCTCTAATCTTTTAGAACATTGTTCTTTGGGCCTTTAGGTGGAGTATGATTGATAACGGGCCACGGGGGTCACAAAGGCTTCTTCTTTCTCAACTTCAGACTCATATCCTTCATCCATTTCAATTCCGCAAAAATTAACATTGCCGGGTCTGAGTAGGATACGGGTGGGCTGGTTGGTTGGGTTATTTTGGGCGGGTTGGAACCGATTTTGGCTTTGATTTTGGGTTCTCTCCGACATACAATAGCGAGAGATGTGGCTAGGCTCACCACATTTATAACAGACCAGCCGGGACGAATCATAATTACCATTATTATAATTATTATTATGATTATTATTATGCGTGGGGTGGGATCTCGGTGAGGCAGTTTCCTTGGGCAAGATAAGGGCAGCGGTTAATTTTTCGGTCATTACTTGCATTTGTGGGTTAGATTATTAAGATCGTTTTCTAATTTCCTATTGCCTTGGGACCTTTCTCCATTCCTTGCATTGTAATATTCTCCAGCCTCAATTTTTCGTGCACCGAGTATGGCTTCTTCCAACGTGGCGGGTTTAGCGACACTTAACCAGGAGGCAATTTTCGATTTTAGTCCTCCTAAAAACATGCGTATGATATAAGCTTGGGACAACTGATGCTCTGGATCGACTCTTCGCAAAAGTTTCTTGAACTTGAACGCATACGAATCGATGTGCTCACTTTCCAACTGTACAAAAGAATTCAAGTCCACTTGCCACTTATGACGATGTTCGGGGGTGGCAAAATACTGCGTAAAATGGGAGACGAAACTGGCTTCCGGTTCTGTTTCGTTGTCCCAAAATTCCAGCAGGTTTCTAATACCATCATACCAATTGGCGGCAATGTCTCATAAGTACCCAGAGGCTATTCTAACCTTCCTTTCGAGCGACCAATTGTTAGCATCAGCCGCACAGTCGAACGTTTCAACCCACTCGAGAGGGTCTTCCTCTTCTGTTCCGTAGAATAATTTGACACAAACCAAGTTGGTTTCTCTGGCGGGAGCTCTGGCGGCAGCAGCAACTTCAGCGGTGGCATCTCTAAAAGCATTGGCTATTTCTCTTAAAACTGTTTGAAGAGCGTTCTGGTTTTGATACGGGTTCGATTTATTTCTATTATGGTTTCTTTCAAGATATATAGGGTAATTGTTGACGGGGGTCCTACTTCTATCACTATATTCCGATCGTTGGTCCTCATTGTAGACGGATCAGGCTTTATTATTTTCTTGGTTGGGAAGAGGGTCATCATTATGGTTTGGGCGAACGTTTTGCTGGTCCATGGCGCCTTTTTATTGCTTATTTATAGGGTGGGGTGCAGTATACGTAGGTTGCCAAGTTTCTGTAAAAGATCTGATTGTTGGCTAGAAGAGGTGGGATCGTTTCCTTTTTTAAGGTTTATTAAGATGACCCTTTTAGAGTCTATATATATATATATAGTTTTTTTTTTTTTTTTTTTTTTT